GAAAATACTGTTAGACACAAAGCAACGAAAATCCTGTTGGTACTACTTTCGGCCTAAAAGATGGTTCTAAAAGCGTTCGCTGAACGCAGGATCGTGAACCGAGCCCCCTAATTCGGTTCGTTATCGGTTCTGAACCGATCCTGAATTGCTACCGCGAATAAAGCTAATGCTTGGGAATTCAGCTGCAGAACGCGACAATGTAATAAACTGTGACCTTTTTCAGCTGCCTCTAGTGACGCACAAGACGTGCAAAAGAGCCTACAAAGAGTTCCTGATTAGTGGCAACATGATGTGCGCCGGTTGGAAGTCCGGCAAGGCCGATACTTGCGCAGGAGACAGTGGCGGAGGCCTAATGTGCCCCAACCAGAAGCCCAGCAAGCTGGTCTACAGGTACTTGATGGGGCTGGTCCTTGCAACTTGGGGGGTTTCAAGGGTGCTTTACGTTGCAGCGTGCAAGGCATTACTAGTTTTGGGGACGGCTGTGGCGGCAAGAACAAGTTTGGAATCTACACAGCCGTCTACAACTACAACGGCTGGATTCGCTACGTGATCGACCACTACTCTTAAGCGACTAGTCCTGGGACGATAATTCGAGGCGCGCGATCTCGAGACTGTGATATATTTACCATACTGCCCAACCTGCATCTAATCGTTAGTCTAGTTTAAGCATAGTTTGTCCCAAGCTATATGGCAGTGACGTCATTATTATTAAGCGCCTTTGGCGCACTAGCGCCATGAACGATAACTGAATTGCTATACATAAGTGTTGCGTTTTTATCAACACCCGTAACTAAACTAAAACTGGTAAGTCTTAATGTAAGAAAGTAGGCCTAGTATATTGGATTTTTTCATAAAATAAAGTTATTTTGCGGTTCCTCTGAATATATGCAACGTGGCCATGCATGAAGACGTGGGAGGGACAATCAGAATTTTGATGCGAACGTTTTTTTTTTGGTTTTTACTATGATTCCTCTAGATGTCTTTCTCCTACCAGAGTTCATTTCCAACCTCCTAAGCGTTTTATGCTCGTAATTGTTTCCCGAGAGTAGGCCTGGGTAACTCAGAGAAGAGTTGGCGCAGTGCTGCGCAAATGGCTTGGTGCGCCAACTCTGCGCCCGGCCGCAGTAACTCAGTTCCGTTGCTGGGAAAATGTTGATGACTTTTTTTTACTTTTTTTAGATTTATTTTAAAGGCCATTTATTAATGATATCCTTAAAATGTCTTCAAATTTCAGAATTTTTCAGTTTTAGCCAAGCTACTATTTTTTCTAAATGCTCAATTTGCTAAAGTTTCACTTAAAAATCCTGACAATCTGAAAATTATTAAATAAAAAAAAATTGCGAAAAATTATGAAATAAGTTTTTAATCCTTCGTCGCTTTGTAAACAGTTTTGAAATCCCTTTCCAGAATAAGCGAAAGTTTATAACAGATTATTTGCAAATCTCGTCACCTCCATTCTCCTGAAGACTGTAGCATTTGTTGAAAAATGTGGTTTTTTAGTTTTGACCGAATTTTTTTGCCTTCCTTTCTACTCAAAAACCGAGTTTCACTTAAAAATACTGACGATCTGGAGGAGTTTTACGCGGAAAATTACAAGATAAATTTATAGCTTTGTAAAAAATGTACAAAAACTTTTTTCAGCGTCAATTTGGGGACAAAAACGAAAATAAATTCCTATCGTTTTTTCCCGAAAACAATTAAGCTTTTGCCCAAAACCGATCACAAAACGTTTTTAATCGAAAACGCAAAAAAAGCATTATTTTCTGATGATTTTCTGCCCCAATGATGTCAAATTATTCATTGTCGAGTGACAGGTGAGCTTGTCAGACTTGTTTCTTTATTATTATTTTATATTATTGGAGTTGATGACATTTATAACATAAAACACTACTTTCACACTGTTCAATCTGTTTCTTTAAAACTTTAAAAGCTTGCGAAAGCTGACTAGAACAAAACAAATCACAATCAGATGTCACAAAACACCAAGGTCAACAAAAGAAGTGCCAAATTACTACTTAACTTGTAGTTATAATTTTGGCCACCATTTTGGTTTTTTAAATTCGCCGAGTTCAACTACCGAGGGCGCTGCAAACCGGCGCCAATGCAGTAATGCCATACCAGGGAATTTTCTCTGACAAAAGGAAAAAGGGATTTGTTATAATTATCTAGGGATTTTTAAAAATGTTCGTTTATCTGCAAAAAAATTAATTATGGGAAAAAAATACTAAAATATTGGACTACAGAAGGCTAACAAGTAGAGAGGAACCACAAATTGTTTTAAGAAATCTCAATTAATGAAGAATCTCCTTTAAGGTCTTTTATAATTTCGCGGAAGTTATCTTTACTGGGATGCAAAAATTAATACACCTGCAGTGATTTGCCACTGCTCTAACTACATATAAAGTTTTTCAAATACCTATTTCAATTAAAGCTTATTAGAATTTAAAAGAGTAAATAAGAAGAATATAAATTGAAGCAGAATTATGAGCTCGATTTTTTCACATTTTTTAAATTTCGTAATATACCGTTGCCAATAACCTTTTTTGCATCACTTATAACTTTTATCATTATTTTTTTTGAAAATCTTACCGATCTGGCATCACTGCGCCATTATTAACTGCAAAAATCACGATTACATGGGTAATGCCTTCCTGACACCCCATTATTTTACCTTCGTTTTTAAGTCTATAATATCAAACACTAATCACTCACTTTTCAATGTGTTTCCATTTGTAAGGCTTGCAAAAGCTGAGTAAAACCAAACAAAGTAAGTGACAATGACATCTATTCAAAATCAAAATAAGTGTCAAATTTGATTGGAAATAGTTAAACTGTAGTTATAATTTAGCCACCAGTGGGCGTTTGAACTTTTGAACTCACGAGCTTATTTTACTTCTATTTGTACAATTTGCTGTGTTCAATCATGGATTCTTAGTTCCTAAAACAAGATTTAACGGTACAAGGATTTGATCTAATCGATGTCATTTTCAATAAAAACTACTGGGTCGTTTAAATATAATTTTCAAAAGTTTGCATTTATTTTTTCTGTAAATTTATGGATGATCGGCATTTTTGATTTGATTGAAACTGCTTTGTTCTTAGTGTACATTAAGAAAAAATTTTAAAAAAGCGATACTCATACAGACATAAAGTACAGATGACGTTTCGCCTGTTAACCACACGCTACTCGCTAACCTCCATATTTATTTACGTCGCGCAGCGCCCCCTTCAGTGAACAGTGAAAGATCAGTATTGGAGGTACAATAGTCCCGTCATTCAATCCTGTCTTTATCTATGATTCAAACCAAACTGACAGCAGTCAACAAGCAACCGTTAAAAGTTGCAAACTTGCTAGGTTTGTATCGGTGGACTTTAAGTTTTAAACATTTAACTAAAGAGCAACTTATGACTTGATAGGTTCCTAAACGAAGGAAGCGGGTGCATTTGACTGTTTTAACTGTGAGTGTTTGTAAACAGTGGGAAAATGGAAGGTTCTTTGTGGGACGCAGTCCTCATCAAATGGGTAAACAAAAATCAAAAGTTTGCTATTTCTAGGCCTTAATGAAAGTTTTCGCTTAGGTAAATTGCACTAGATTGTCCCAGCCCATTCAGACGCTGGACCAGCTTCAAAATGGCGAGTTTCTCAGCCGTATGAGCAAGTTAATGTAAGTTTGCTCCCTAAACTGCCTGATGATGGCTCTAACGCTCCAATTCGAATTTAATAGCGAAACCTCAGATGAGTCAATTAACAGCGACGGCTTGAGCGTGATCTTTGAAACCTTCTCTCGCTACTACCCTCATATAGTGTTCGAGAAAAAGGAGAGTGTGCACGTCAGCGACTTGCCCTATCAGGACCTGGTCAACATGACTTCCCTGCTGTTGCATTTCACCTCTATTTGCAAGAGGAAAGACGCGTTAACATCAGCCATGTGCAAGGATCTGGACTTAACCACCCAGCTATACATCAAAAAATTCCTAGAGTCGGTTAGTCAAAAAACCACCAATAAACAGTTGGCTAAAACGATCGAGGGCTTATTTGGTGCGTCGAAAAAGCCGAAATCATCTCGCGAACCGACGCCTGTTCAAGACAGTCCGATGGTTAGGAAAAGCCCTTTGTTCGAACTGCTGCAAACGCCTAGAAGGAAATACCTACGAATCAAGGGAGCGAACATGGTCAAGACGCTTGAGCAAGAACTGGAAGCTGAAAGAGCTGATCGGGAAGCTGACGTGAAGAAACACCAAGAAATAATAAGCAAATTGAGTAAGACATTAAATGACCGATTAGGAGTTTTTGCTCAAATCTTCTGCTTGTTGCAGCTCTTCAATTGGAGCAAAAGTGTACAGAGGCTAAGCAGCTGAAGGCTCAGGTGAACAACTGGGAGGAGAGTATGCCGCCCAACTCCCAAGACGTCGACCACCTTGAAACCATCAAACTCCTCCGAAGGGAGGTTGCAAGTTTGGAAGACTACGTGAAGAAGTGCGATAACGAGTACGAGGAGATAACCAAGGAGAGGGACTCATTCGAGGCAAAGGTACTAAAAAAAGTCAGCATTCTCTATCGGGTGCTGATTTGCAGTTTATTTTTTTTAAGGCAAAGCAGCTGGAGGCCGATTGTAAAACGACGAAGAGCAGCTTTCTAGAACTGGAGGAAATTTACCTAGTCAACATGGAGGCCTCAAAGGAGCTGGAGGAGAAGTACCGCCTGCTCAACATTGACTATGTCGAGCTGAGGGCAATGCTGAACGAGTACAGGCGAAAATCTATCCACTTGGAGGAGAGCGTTTGCTACGAAAGCCGGCGTTGGTCCGGTGGCTTTGATTCGAGCAATAAAGGGGAGACTCTGGCCGAATCCGTGGTTGAAGTGCAGCTTCGTGATGTGCGAACGGCCTTAGATGCAGCCAACGATAAGCTGCAGGAAACCTTGCAGTCAAACGACGAGCTGAAGGCGGCTCTAAAAGGTAAGTGATCAGAGAGGATCCATTTTTTCCAGCATCAAGCAACACTTTAATGGGGCGTCCACACCCGACCAGCCGAGCCTGATCCCCAGCAAGTTCCTTTGATAACCGACAGAAAGTGGAAAGTCGTCTGTCGGTGTTTCGCCGAAACATCAAAGGAAATTGTCGCGGATCAGACTTGGCTCGTCAGGGGTGGACGCACTTTAACACATCGAATCTTTCCGCAACTTAACTCAACAATTTCGATTCGCAGAAGCTGAGCAGCGAAACGAACTTCAGCTGTTAGAAGGCGACAAATTGAAGCACAGTGTGCGTGCAGTGCAGACAGAAAATGCGAATCTGCAAGCTAAACTGCAACAATTGTCAGAACAACTATGCAGTTATCAAACCGAATGTGAAAACCTTAAAGCCGAAAAACTGGAATTAAATGACAAAATTCTCCAACTAGCGAACCGCGTGGATCAGTCATCCAATAGAATCCAAACTTTGGAAGCCGAAACGGAGCGCTTGAGCGCGACCGAAGTTAAGCTCACTGAAACCCTTGCTAGATCATCCGAAGAAAACCAGCAGCTGTCCATTGAACTCAAACATCTGGAGAAACTGAAACAGTCTATGGAACTACAGGAAGCAAAGCTTGCTGATGAGAAGGCTCTAGTTGAGCAACGTCTGGCTGCAGTTGAAGAAACTCTGGAGGCAACTAGACTAAGCAAAGCGGCCCTGCAAACCCAACACCTTCAAAGTGTTGAGCAACTTCAAACCACTTCAGCTGAGCTACAGAAAGCGCGCTCTCAAACAGAGATCCTTGCCCGCAACTTGGAAGCCACGTCTAAAGGCCTGGAACACTCTAAAGCCCAACTGTCCCAAACGCAATGTCAAGTCGACAAACTGCTAAAGGAAAAGCGCGAAGTGGAAGACACCCTTGCTAAAACCGAAGCTGAATTGGCTAGAAGCCATGCAGACATCAAGGCTGTGCAGCTGGAAAAAGAGTCACTGAATTTCTACCTGGAAGACACTTCCAAGCAGCTGGATGAATCCGAAGACAAGCTAGCATCTGCTTTGAAGGCTGTTGCTGAGCAAAAGAACGCCATCCAGGCAGTGAGTTCGGAAAAAGCCAGTCTGGAGACGAAATTGGAACAGTCAAGTGAGGAAACCAAAGGATTGTCGACGAAACTTTCCGAACTATCCCTGCAGCTGCAAGAAGCCATCAGAAGTCTGGAAACCACCAAAAACACCCTGGCGGAGAAATGCGAATCCGAGTCCCAGTTGCAGCAAGTGATAAAAGAACTGAAGCAAGCGCTTCAAATCGCGCAAGAGGAAGCACAAGCAACTGAAATACAGCTGAACCGAAAACTGGAAGAAATCAAGCAGAGCTCCGACTCAGCCATGGAAAACCAGGCCAAAAAACTGCAGCACACACTGATGACTCTGGACGGCACCAGAACGGAATTGGAGGACTCCAAGTGCGCTCTCCACCAGAGCAACGAGAGGCTGACGCAAAAGGAGCGAGAACTAACGGAAAAAGTGCAACAATTCCACGAGCTGGAACTGCAACTGGTTTCTGCCAATGCGACCCTGAAGGAACATTTGGAGTACGAGCTGGATTTGAAAAAGCAACTGGAAGCGCTTAAAGCCGAGAAGAAGCAGCAGCTGGAATCGTTGGAGGCACAGCTAGGCAATTGCCGTGCGGAGGTCGCGTTATATTACGAAAAACTCGAAGCTACTTTGGCAAAGCTAAATCAAAGCAATGGGGAAATTGAAAGCTTGAATTCTCAATTAACAGAAAGCTGTTCCAAAGTCGAGCGGCTCAGTGCCGACGCGCTTGCCCTGAAGACTTCATTGTCTTGCTCAGTTGCTGAGAAGGAGCAAATTTCGCAGCTGCTGGAGGGTTTCTTTCAGAAATTGCACCACATTTTTGAGCCAAATCACATTGGAGATCTGGCCAGCCAATTGGACCATCTAGTAGTTATCGTTAACCAACTGGAAGATAATCAATGCAGCCTGACTAAAACTGTGGATGAGACAGCGGCTAAGTTGCAAGCGGCCCAGGAAGAGAAAACCGTACTGGGCAATTTTCTGGAGCTGAACAGTGACGAACTGCGCAAAGTCGCCCAGGAAAAGGAGCACATCTTGGAGGCTTTGGAAATGAGCAACAAGGACAAAATGTTGCTGGAAGCAGAGCACACACAGTTGGAGCTTCAAGTGGCTTCAATGGAACACGCGCTGGAGCAACTGAGAGCTTACAAGGAAAAGGAGAGTCAGGAAAAGCAGAAGCTGTTTGCTGAAAAAGCCGCAATTCTGGAAGATTTGCAGGAAACCATTCGGGAGAAGAACGAGCTCAAAGAGTTGGAACTTCACGTTGCTTCAATGGAACACGAGCTGGAGCAAGTGAGAGCGTGCAACGTAATGGAGAGTCAGGAAAAACAGAAGCTTTTTGCTGAAAAAGCCGAAATTTTGGAAGATTTACAGAAAACAATTCGGGAGAAGGATGAGCTGAAACAGTTGGAGGTAGAAGTGGCTTCGATGGAACAGGAGCTAAACCAACTAAGAGCGTGCTATCAAAAGGAGAATCAGGAAAAGCAGAAGCTGTTTGCGGAAAAAGCTGAAATTCTGGATGATTTGCAGAAAACCATTCGGGAGAAGGATGAGCTCAAACAGTTGGAGGTTCAAGTGGCTTCGATGGAGCAGGAGCTGGAGCAACTGAGAGCGTGCAACAAAAAGGACAGCCAGGAAAAGCAGAAGCTGTTTGCCGAAAAAGCCGAAATTCTGGACGATTTGCAGAAAACCATTCGGGAGAAGGATGAGCTCAAACAGTTGGCGGTTCAAGTGGCTTCGATGGAGCAAGAGCTGGAGCAACTGAGAACGTGCAACGAAAAGGAGAGTCAGGAAAAGCAGAAGCTGTTTGCTGAAAAAACCGAAATTCTGGAAAATTTGCAGAAAACCATTCGGGAGAAAGATGAGCTCAAACAGTTGGAGGTTCAAGTGGCTTCGATGGAGCAGGAGCTGGAGCAACTGAGAACGTGTAATGAAAAGGAGAGTCAAGAAAAGCAGAAGCTGTTTGCTGAAAAAGCCGAAATTCTGGAAAATTTGCAGAAAACCATTCTGGAGAAGGATGAGCTCAAACAGTTGGAGGTTCAAGTGGCTTCGATGGAGCAGGAGCTGGACCAACTGAGAGCGTGCAACGAAAAGGACAGTCAGGAAAAGCAGAAGCTTCTTGCTGAAAAAGCCGAAATTCTGGAAAATTTGCAGAAAACCATTCGGGAGAAGGATGAGCTCAAACAGTTGGAGGTTCAAGTGGCTTCGATGGAGCAGGAGCTGGAGCAACTGAAAGCGTGCAATGAAAAGGAGAGTCAAGAAAAGCAGAAGCTGTTTGCTGAAAAAGCCGAAATTCTGGAAAATTTGCAGAAAACCATTC